GAGAGAAAGCTCATTTTGTTATTTTGTACAAGAAAAAGTGATTAAATGCAGCTTTTCTTCGGGGCAGATACACAAAGTAATTGTCACTCTCCTATAATGGCAAAATGAACTGAACCCGACTGAAGCAAACGGTGTGATTAACATACAACAAAACAACAGCCACCTCGATTGTATATTACACATGGTTGGTATTGTACATTGGATGGTCTTCATGTTTAAACAATCAATAAAAACGAGTGAGATAAAGAGAGAACAGACAAATGAACTTCGGTGTTTTCAATCTCCCTTTCCATCTTTAGTCATCATCCAGGCTCTTCAGATGTGGCAGAAACACAAACTCCCTAAAGAGAGGAAGTTTGGCAGGACGAAGCCGCTGTTGAGCTAACACTTTTGTTTTTGACTCTTCGGTTCAGATCAAACGCTTCCTCTAGTTTCTCAGCAGGAACTGACAGCAGGATTTAATTTGAAACATCCTCAGAGGCTCAGAGCAGTTTGGACTCTGCTGTGATGAATTCACCTGAACAAAAAGGCATTTTTCCTGCAACTATTTCAGCTTTAACAAACAGCTAGAGAGCTCTATATAGCAATGAGGTCGGGATAATCAGGTTGGTTAATATTCATCCCTTAATTAACATGCTATTGGCTGTCACAGGGGATGGAGGAGGTTGTTCGTTCATAAAGACCTCTAATTTTCCGAGCCGTGGTTTTATGACTTAAGGCACTAGTTTTCGATGGGAGTCTACAAGCTGGCGATTGATTACGTCCTCTGCAGGAATGATTCGCCCCGCCTCTCTGCATGTATCTATTATTAAACGACACTCTCCTGCCTTTTCAACCACTCTCCTCCAATGACAAGCGCAAGGGACTCTCTCATTTGTCCTCAGCCTTCGTAACTCGAGCCACAGCGTTAAAAGATCTGCTGGGGCGGTGTCGGATGCCCCCCCAGGCCTCCAGCTCCGTCCTGATCAATGCCTGCTCAAATTTCACACGAGAACACCTGTCGGCTAGCGTGGAAGAGAGAGGGGGAGACGTGATGAGCTGTTCTCAGCCCAGAAGACAAAACATAAGTGCCTGTTCTGCTGCAACACTTTCATTTTTGTCAGAGTGTCCAGAGCGGCAATTAAAGGCAGCAGGTTTACAGCAGAAATATCTCTCTGCCCGCTTGAAAATTCCCCAGAACTTGTTTTACTTTCCACTTCACCATCAACTGTGTTTCATATATCTACGTCTCTGTCCACAGCTGTAAATCAAGCGTGGTATAAGGGAATATGTAAGAATACCTGTGCTAAGCAATGCTATTGTGGTCCTGCTGCTAAACTGATTAGCTCAGCACACATGTGGTTGTGCTGAAGATTGAAGAGACACCAAGATTAGTGCAAAATTGGTATATTTCCCTTACAGCTCAAAAATGTATATGGGCCTCAAAACTAGCAAACTGTTGGGCTTTACAGTTAAATAAAAATTAGTTAACACAAAAAGATATGGATATACTGGGTGATGTTATGTAAAGAAAATGCCACATTGAGCTGGTGAGATGAGCAGCAGAGAGATGAACTCTGCAGTTTGTGCCAGCACGCCTTGAAAAGTGATATTCTGCTCATGTGATGCCTTGGTGCAGTATTTAAACATAGACTTTTTTTTTTTAGGGCTTTAAGCTGCTACTTTTCTTAACAATACAATGTGTACTATGTAACTGCATCAATGAAAAACCTACTTTAACACAATGCAGCAGAGAAATGAAAGGAAGTGATGACAGCCCAGTGATCTAAGCGACTCCCCCTCCCTGTAGGCCTACAATGTGTAAAAGGAGTCGGGTTTTCTGCAGCACCAACAATGGGCTAACATAGAAAACTTAAAGCTAAGCATTAAAACTGAAAGCAAGGGGGAACACCTACTAACTTCTCTAAATCTCTAGTTTGTTTAATCCACATAAGAGCTAAAGAGTAAAAATGACAATACGTGCTTTTAGGGGGAGCTCTGTTTGTCTCTTGAAGGTCAAATAATTTCATCCTATCCTTTCTTGTCCAAATAACCTGCACATAAGTGGTGTGATCTTTGTGAAGTGCTTAAAAAAGGCACCTGGATTTGTATCTTGGACACACTTGGATTAACGCATTGTTCTTTAAGATGCTTGAATTAGACTTTTATTTAGAACATTTTACAGATTAGTGTGTATTTGGGTGTTTTCATCCTAAAAAGGTACAGGTCTTGACTGGATAAAAGCTTTATTATAAAAAGAAAGCAGTGAAAGCTTTGTTTGCTAATCAAGGATTTTTAAGCCAGAGGTTCTCAACGTAGGAATGTTTTATTGAGCAACAATTGTATAAGACGGGCTATTTCAGTGATTCAAGCCTGTGTGACTCACTAGACCTTGTTCCTGCAGCCTGACGACAATTTACTGCAGTCTGGGGAAACTGTCGCACACACATACAGCAGATAAAACTGAGCAGGGACTTTTCTGCAGCAGAAACAACACGTTTTAGATGTGTCTAGATATAAAAATCAGCTTAAGACAACCTGTTATTTTACAAAAATACTACTGTTCAGTGAAAGCTGATAAAACATAAGTCCAGTAGGTCTGAGCTTTTACAAGAAAAAATAAGGCAAAAGGGTAGAGATTGGGTAATATTATATTATGTCCTTAGTCCAAATTCAAATAAATGCTTTTGTCAATATCAGACAAAGCCATGCAGGTTGTGTGGCCATAGAGCCAAATGCATTCCTCCTTAAAAGGCTAAAGTAGGAGATATAAAATAGTGAAAAACGTTGATCGCAGTTTCCAATAGCCCAAGTTGATGTCAAATACCTGACTTTGAGAAGCTGGAACCACAGAAAGTTTGATATTTTAGCTTAAAAATCACCCAGCCTGGGGGTCTGAACCCCCACTACAGATCGCCAAATCTTCACAGGAGGTTGCGAGGACTTTTTGAGGAGCTGATAGAACAATGAGGAGAAAACCCTGAATTTATGAAAAAAGAATCCTATTAAGTCTGTATTTGCTTTAATGTGTCTCATGTAATGATGCATTTTAACCTCAAATAGATGTTCAACCTGTCATGATGGTAACTTTTCAGCAAACAATAACTTTAAATCTGATTTGGCGTGAACAGCTTGCAGAGCAACATGAGACTCTGAACGTCTGGCTGATACACGGAGTAATGAAATCAGATTTTGGCAGTTGGCCCTTTATCTCATGGTGAAACATTATGTCAGGGTTTAAACTATTCTTTTTCTCTGTAGCTGCGTTCAGAAATGTAAAATCAAATCAATGTCATACAACACTTGAATGTGCTGTAACACTAACAACTCAAAGACAACGGTCGCCCTTGGTGATTAAAGTGTTTCTGACTTCAAAAGAAAATTACTGGACTTCAGTAAAGGACATCTGAGTGTCTGCCTTTCATTTTCCAGTAAAACATGGAACTCAGAGGAGTCAGGATGGAGCCTGGTTCAGAGATAAGAAAGCCAAGGTGTTCTTTGTGCACACAGTAAGTTTAGAGCCTCAGCAGGAGTTGAAGATATCCGCAACAATAAGAAAACAAGCATGCTTTGCTTTAGACTTTGTGAGATTTTGTGGAGGTCACGTGATCTTACAGCCAAACAGGTAGAGGTAGTAGCAGGTGAGCCGTGCTGGATAACAGTGCAAAGTAACTTAGTGTCCCATTTAGCAAGGCATTTACCCCCAGCAGTGCATGCACGTTTCATCAACTCTGCCTGGATAAACAGCACTTGGTAAACGTTCTTTGCTAGAGTACTTTTTGAATAATGGCGTCTGGCGAGGGAAATGTCTCGGGACAATTTTGCATCCCCCAGGGCGCCGGCGCTGTCGGAGAAGAAAAACACATCGAAGCCTGCGTGTGTTTGCTTGACAGAGTTGTTGTGGCTCAAACTGCAGATGTTAAGTTTCATTTCTATGCTTGCCTTTACAAGATTTTCAACTCCAAACCCCCACCCCCTTCATTTTTCATGTGATGGCTGTTCCCGCTGTGGGCAACCTCCGGCTGTAAAGACAAGTTGTTCACCGTTCATGTGACTGAGCGTTAAGATAGTGTCACATTGTCCGACTGCAACACAGGCTGAGGGCAAAAAGATGTAGCAAACAGACATTAATCAATCTGACTGACTAGGAAATTAGATTTTTGTTCTTTTTAGCTTCAACAGAGCGAAACTAATGATGCAGCAACCATCTGAGGGACACTGATAAAAGCACTCAGTTTGTAATGTGCATCATTTGAGAATAAATGCTGTTGCTGCAGTGCCTGACAATTTTATTTAACATTTATCTGTGCAGTAAATGCTTTTGCTGAACGTGAATGCTTTGTGAATAATGTACATTAGGAAGATATAAGGGAATGGCTCCAACTGTAAGACTTGACATACTGTATTTCTCAGTTCAAGTAAAATTTTTTGATTGTGAACTTCCCCCATCTCTTTCCTAGAAAACAATGAGAAAACACTTTTAGCAGCTCCAATGTGAATATGGTTGTGACTTTGTGAAAGATGGATAAACAAAATTAAGTCATTATTCATCCATAAATGTAATATATTGACTGTTTCCGGCTTCTAGAATGTGATAATTTCCTGTTTTATATCATCACAATGACTATATTTGTATATTTGTATATCTGAAGACATCACCCTTGGCTCTATAAACTTACCATAGGCCTTGTCACTATTTCTGGAGATTGACAGATACATGATGAATTTAAATTGAACTAATTTGTATATGAGACAGTGACAGATTTTTCACCCCCATAATAACACCCTTTGTTTCTATCTTTAAAAAAAGGGGTACAGCATCAATATCCCTGACTAACCAAGGCTGAGATTTATAATCAAAAATCCTGTTGCTCAGGAAAACACAATATGTGAGTGACTACAGTCAGAATCAAACAACTTCTGCCAGGTGAGTTAGGTGTTATAAGTGTGTCTATCCTATATCCTTGTGAAAACCATGACAATAAAAACACTGACGGACTAAAACGTCTTAAATATCTTACCATCATGAGTTCCCTCTGGAAGGACTTCCTCTCCTTGTTCTCCATGTTCATACACTCCTCTTTGAGTTTCTCCAGAACCGACGCCACTTTCTCCGGCTCATTGTCCAACTCGGTCCGGCAAAAATAATTCAGTGGCAAATTCCCGTACCCAAGAGCATCTGCAAATGCCCTCCAACTTCCAACATTCTCCATTAAAACCATCCTCACTGTTGCGTAGATGTACGTAAGAAATTTGCAAGGCTTCAAGATCTGATCCAGCAACATTGTGGTCGTTAGGTCTGGCCCACACCAATAAATAGGCTTGACCTTACCCAGAACTAAAACATTCTTGGCATGGACAAGGCCTATCTTTCCCTGATAGTATCCGATGTACCACTCTTTGGTCCTAAGTTGCCCTCGCAGTTTGATTTTCTCCTCGCTGAGCAAAGCAATAACATCCCCCTTCTTGTACTCCAACAGATACGTGCTCTTGTGCTGCCTAATCACGGTTTTGATCAGCTTGCCAAATTTAAGGTTGGTAATGCACCGGTCCTGAAACTTTGGGTATTTGGAAGTGACAGCCAGTGGCGAGAGGACAATCTTATCCACCTCTTTCTTTTTCAGAAACCTCCTCTGGCCTGTTATCCTCGTTCCGGTCTTTGGAGGAGGCTGTGGAGTTTGCACACAGAACTGGGTGAGGATACAGTCAAGGGCGTCTTTAACTTGGACCCTGAGAGTGAAGTCTGAGATGCTGTTTGGGTTGTGCGATGTGATCATGTACAGGAGCCTACTGACTTTCCCCAATTTGACCTGAAATCCTCGAATCACACCTGCACCCTCAGTCGCCTTCACCTGGTAGTTGGACATGTTAGAGTACAATCCCACCTGGAGGTCCTGAGGGTACCCCAGCACGAACTGGTGCTTCCCCCACAACTGGAGGGCCACTGGCGGGGTGGAACTAGCCTGTCGGCCCACTTCGCTTACCAACAAGGTCTTGGGGGCGCAGTCATGCCCAAACATGGCAACAACTGTCTTGAAGGAAGGGTGAATGTGCTTGGGTCCATAGACACCCAGAGTTACTTTCCTCTGCACATGGTCCCAAACAGTCATATTGTGGCTGATATACTGGGACTGAATCACAACCGCCACATACATACAAGGCTCTAGACTATCCAACTGGACCTGGACGGTATCCTTGTAAATGTAAGCATTAGGGATGGGCGTGTAAGGTCCTTCTTTGCAGTCGCTTCGAACACAAAGCACCTCTGCAGTGTGACAGCTCTCCTTCTTGACAGTTACCAATACCTTCATTTCCAACGTGATGAAGGACTTGGTTTCCATGTTGCTGAGCTTGATCTCCACCACAGGGCTGACGGTGGAGCAGCGGTCACTGTTGAGCTCCAGAGGAGGGTCTAATAAGGCTTTCATGGAGATCTGCTGGTGGTCTCCATTGCTGACATGGCCTTCAGGGATGTGCACACTGATGTGGGTGTCCGGGAGCTGAACAACTCCGCCATTGCTGTCCAACATGCACACAATGTTCGTCTCCACCGGCTGCGTCTGGCCCCATCCAGGACTCTGACCCAGAGAGTCAAGGTCATGGCAAGATCTGGCTAGCTTTCTGTGGTTCAACCAAGCAGTCCTAAAGTCCTCCCTGCTCTGAAACTGCTCCGGTGACGGAGCCTTAAGGCCCGTAAAGAATCCAGAGGAGGGTAAGGTTGGATTTGACTGTGCCTGCAGGACTGAGAGTTCTGAGAGACTGTGGGAACGTTTACTCCTGAAAAATGGGTTATCCCTGTGGAGGTTAGGTGCATCCTCTTGGTTTGGGCTGGTGGGGGTGGTATTGTTAACGTGGCAGCTGCTGAACCCATTGGTCATGATTGTACTAGTGTTAAAGTTGGAGCAAGATGACGGAGATGCCAGTGCATCAAACAAGATAAGATCTGCTGAGTTCCTTACACCTGTGTCTTTACAGTTTTGATCTAACGGACAGATAAAGGGGTTCACAGAGAAGGGGCTGTTGTTGTTAATTGGGGAGGGCTTAAGGCTCATCTCTGTCCACTCCCCCAAACCACCAAACTCCTTGGACCCATCCTCGTATCCTTCCCCAAGACTGTCGATCATCCCACTGTCGCTAAGCGAGGAGTTCCTGAAGTTGACCGGCTGGACATAGGCGGCTGGGATGTAGCCCATTTCCGTGTTGTTGTGGGCATACCACCACTCTCCACCTGACGTGTCCAACACATAGAGACGATCACCTTTGGAGAATTTCAACGTGGTGAAGCTGCTGGGGCAATAATCCTTAATGGCAACCACTTCCTGTGCAGCTCCATAGGAGGCTGAAGTGTCAAGTCTTAAGGCACTTGGAGAAGGCACTGAAAAGGAAAAAAATATTAGACCAAATCACAATTTAAAACTATTAGTGATGGTTTTTTATTTGTCTTGATTGCAGAGCATTATTTTAACCGGCTTGGTCTTATTTTAATCACTCATCGGCTGATTACTCAAAACACTGCCATTAACAGTGTTTATTTCATAATCAGACATAATGGACCAGTTGTACTAATGAAATGATGGTACTACAGGTCTGTTATCATTTCAATGGTTAATTTGAAAAACTTTTAGAGAAAAGATCATCCCAGAAAAAATAAATTAAGCCAAGATACACCCAAAATAATGATTTTCTAATCATTCTGTAACTATAAAATGTTCATATTACTCTACTATAAAGGTACGAGAGGACGAACTGCATAATTTACTGCATAATTGACTATTTATAGTTCACCTCATTAGCGTATATGGAGCATGTAAGCAAAGCTGTAATGAAGTGCAACCAGTGAAGTGAAAGAGCCACAGAAAGAATATTAATGTTTTCAACAACATGACTGAATAATTGAATTGCAAAAGATGAAAAGCCCAATATTAAAACAACAACTTATTTAAATTCTAAAGATAATGCATGAACATTGATTAATCAGTCCTTTGACTGAATGAAATAATTGAGCCTTGGACCTTACACACATAATAACAACAATGATGTAAAACTGGTGCGGCTCCAGTAAAACACTGACCTTTTACATCATTGAGACTTGCTCCAGTGACTGCTTCACTGAGGTCAATGAGCGTCCCCTCAGACTTACAGCGAGGAAGGATGTGGTTGTTGTTTGTCACTCTGATGATTCGATGGGCAGCCATGGCTGGGACTTATCGTAGCATTCGCTCATTGGCAGCTTTTCATCTGGATGGGAAACAAACAAAGGACATTTCAGGGTGGGAGCAACCAGCCAAATTTAAACACATCTGCACTCAGGCGTTTAGCTGATGCTCACATCTAGAAAGACTTCCCAAGGCAACGCTGGAGTAGGAAGCTTAATTTTCTAGATCACTAACACAGTTAAAAGCTACAAAGGTCAAAGCCACTGCTGTGGAAAATAAGGTTGACAAATATCACAGAATTTTTGAAGGCGCTGTGTGAAGTATGTGCTGGGGATATAATGACTCCTGGTTGAACAGGGACAGTTTTTCTAAATCAATGGAAAGACCATGAGTGTTGAACTGAGAGAAGACAGAGAGAGGTGTGATTCAGGGGGACAACAATCAAAAAGCAATAAAGAAATGAAACCTAAAGAGATTAAAGTTCTGAGTGAAAGTGACAATAAAGAGAAGGTCAGAAACATAATGTCAACCATGAGCTGAAAACGTAGTGTGCAAACAACATTACAGCAACATGTGGACACTTGAACATCACATTCTTGTGTGATTGTTGAATATGTAATTCCAAAACTGTGGTCATTAGCTGCTATTACAGCCTTCACTCTTCTGGTTTCAGGTAGCATTTTAAAACCTGGCTGCAGGGTTATGCTTCCATTCGGCCTAAAGAACATTAGTGAGGTTGACACATTTGTGACAAAGACAAAATCCCTAGGGAAAGTAAACAGAGCTGTTAACTACAGTAGTTCACCAACTAGATTATCTGCTTTGCCACTTGAAAAACAGCCTCAGACCAAGTATTTGGACACTTCTGTCCACATATTTTTGGCCATATAGCATATATGAAAAGCTCATACCCAACCTCAGAGACTAAGTTGTCTGAAGTCACACAAGTCCTAATATTTTCCAATAGGGAATTCAAACCAGCAACCTTTTCACCATCTCTTTATCCTCTGGCTGTACAGTATAAGCAGCACTACTCTGTGTGTTTTAAGCATTTACATCTGCGATTGTATCAACCAAGTTACCAATTTCCTTGTCAGACTTGAGCTGGGATTCAATTTGTGTATGAAAACACTCAGTCAGCAGAGGACTGTAATCTGATTAGAGAGGAAGCAAGAAATTGTTTTGCAGCAAAACGTTGTTCCCTTCAGTCACAAGAGACTTTATTATTCCTTCAGGACGTGGCGAGTGGCGGCAGTGGGAACGTTTGCATTTGCACGCTAATGATGCCATTTTAATCTGATTAAGGCAACACAGAATGTGGAAGCTGCCATGTAAATGCTTTTTACTGATTCACTTCATTAGCACTTTAATGCTTGGAGGTTCATTGTCACATTAAACACTGAGGATTCTGATTCAGGTGCAGGTGTTTGTTTTCATAGAATACAGCACTGCAACATCACTTCACTATGTTCACTAATAACATAATAGAATTGGCTGTTATTAGCGAGGTTTGACGTCAGAGACGAAATACACAGATTTTATCTTTCTATACTCACATTAATGTTTTTTAATGTAACCCTTTCCCGTCAATCTTTAGCTGTCACTGTCAATTAAAGGCAATAAAAGCCCCAAAAAAGGTATACTTATATAGCACCATGCCATGCAAGGTGCCAACTGCTCATCAGAAACGGAAACTGTTTCAATATCATTACACGCAGTGATAAGGCTGAATTGTGCAAACTTCCGAAGGCACAAAAGTTAAAGAAAACTACTGTTAAGATAAGGCAATCATTTTGTGGGTTAGAGGTCTTTTCAACATCTTCTTTAAACTGTGATATGCAGAATATTGCCATTTCTTTATCTTCTTGACAGGAAGCTAGTGTTTGTCCCAAAGGACAACTTTTATCTGATGAGATACATTTTCAATTTTTGTTCCTATCACTTCTCCAGTTCTTTATATAGCAGTCAAGTAGACAAAACAGACTCAATATCACTGCTGTAAGAATAATGTACTTTCAGCTGTGTTTGTATCTGAACACAAAAGTGAACTGCTTGGTTATTGTTTAGGGTTTTAGTGAGAAGACTACTTTGTGTTGGCAAAAAACCTCCACTCTTTTTATTCTTATATATTATGTTATTGGACTGGAGACCCGGGACTGGCAGGTGAAATGAACCTGGTGACTGTGACCTCTTTATCCGTGAGCCGCTCGCAGCTCCAGTGTGACCCCAAGACCCCTCTGGAGCTCTGCAAACTTCTGTCGTTTTTCAGCCTGTCTGGCCTCGATAGTTTTGATGCAACATATAAAGTATTTCACATTTTCATGTTGTTTATCCGTCTTGTCCCCGGCGTAAAGGTCTTTAATCTGCACATTTTTAAATGGAGTAAGGTAGAATCAAGCAGACTACTCTCTCATGCCTCAAAATGACAAAAAACAAAAAATCTGCTTCAGCTTTAGAGCAGTTATTCTCTGGAGGCTGAGTGAAACTGTAGCAGAGGTGCACTCTGGGATGCAGTGCATCCAGTGAAGAGAAAGTGGGGCTTGTTTAATGGCTGCCTGTGTTCACCTGGGATCTCGGTCTGGAAGGCAGACAAACTCCTTCGAGGTGACATTTCATTTTCCTGCACACTCTTTGCTCATCTGGGAACACGTCGGTCCGTCGATAAAACCTCTCCTCCCACTCAAAAATGAGCGCTCAGCGGGCCGCCGGAGTGAGGCTGCGATCAATAACAAGCCAGCAGACAAAGACACTGTCACCGGCTTTGATATAACACCGAGGCGAACCCCGCTGAATGCAGCAGGAGGTGAGGACAGCTCTGACAGATACGAGGGGGGAAAGCGAGGAATTGGAAGCTCCTGTTCACTGCGACAGGAAACGTAGCAGTTCAGAGCAAACCGGATTCCTCGAGAAGACCCCTGCAGATCCACGCTGACAAACTCCTGTTCCTGAATTTGACAAGGAAAAACTGACACTAACAATTACAAAAACACAAAAGTTTGACTGTGATGCCCTGCGTGTGACCTTTTACAGGCATAATTCTTTATATTATAGAGATACTATATGCAACATCTGCAGGAATTAACTCCATTTGACTTTAGTTTTACTTCACATTAACAGAGAACTTTCAATTACAGGGGAGAGGAAACGCTATAAAGGAAACTTTCAGGGGATCTCAGCAAACTGCTCGAGGGTTTGTGGGTTAGCCTCCCTCAAAATTGGAATATTTTTTTCCCCCACCGGTGCATCAATATCCGAGTCGGTGAAATACTCTGCGTTATTAACTCATTTCAGTCAGGGTGACAGAGTGTAGCAGCGGTGAGGACGACAGGGAGTCGAAAGTTTAATTAGCCGAGAGCCGGCCGGGCCTAATCCCTGGATGAATCCTGCTATAATAACCATTTCCAGCAGCCATATGCTCGCAGGGAGTTTATTGTTTTTCCCATCACAGCTGTTTAAAATTAGCAGATTACAGGACAGAGTATGAGATGCGAGCAGCACAGGCTGGAAAACACAAACCTATCATGTCAAACCTTAAAGCAAAAGTATGTCATATTTAAATTGAATCTACTGTTGAATTTCCTGTGTAAACATTCAAACATGCAGTAATCCCAGATCAAAGATGGAGACCGAGGGGCTAAAAGTCTCTTAAATCAAGATCAAACCACCCAAAGACAGCTCCTTACTCAGGCTGAGTCACGATTCCTATCAGTTTAATAAAATGACATGAAAACAACTTTAAAGGCTTGTTAGCAGATTCTACAAATAGTAAATGTAGATTTTTGAGCAATAGACACCAAAGTCTCCTTAACTTTTAATATTAAAAATCCCAATCCTTTGATGAAACCCAAAACTGGATTCCTTAATTTATTGCGTAATGTGTTTCTGCAATGTCTCCTAAATATTGATTTGTTAGATTTACATCTCTCTCGCTATTGCTGTTTCTCTTTGCCAGTAAAGTCCGCTGAGACAAAATAAATTATCCAAAACTGTTGAACTTGTTTAGTGAATGCAGCAGGTTACAGCTTTTCTGAGTCCTTCCCTACATTTTGTCCTGGCCTCTGTCGGCTGAAAAAAGGTTAAAAGAAACATAAAAAAAACATCAAAACTAAGCTTCATTTGACTTTAAACTCTATTAAGGGTCATCTATTTTACAGGAAACTGACCTCAGGGACAGAAACACATTAGGTCTTGTTGAGTCAAGTACCTAACTGGCTGCCCCGTTGTGGCCTGCGGCAACGCAGCTCTGCTCCCAGCATGCATTTGGACGCATGTTTACACCTGTCATGTAGCGGCGGTGAACCAACAGAAGAAAAGAACAGGAGCTCAGGGAAGAAATGTCCTTGGAAGTTTTTTAAACGCCTACAAACTGACGAGGGGGAACTTCTAATGAGTGGTTTCACCTTATCACCTTATCATGGTACTAAGTTTTTAACTTACAGTACGAGCATTTGTACAGGAAGGAGATATCTATCTGGAGATACAGGTAAGCCGACAAACTTTCCCAAAAAAAGATGGTGATGGAAAGAAGGTGTTTTGAGGATTTACAGGGAAGAGCTGGTCGTGTGCCAACAGAGACAAACTAAAATGTCTAATTTCAACCAGAAATCAAAGAATTCTGGAGGAACATTGAGGCAACCGATCTTTCAGCACCACAGTTTGAAATCTGCAGGCTAATGTTGAGTTTCCTTTGAAGCTGATAATTTTCCTCTCCAAAAACTACATTATGACGTCAGGAATCTGCACTTATTAAGGGGTTGAAGTGGCAATTTAGTCTCTTAAAAATATTTTTTGATTTCATTGCGTCTTTTTTTAAAGCTTCCACAGAGAGACATCATATTCCTGCTGAATATGAGCGGGTGATTCCTCTCTCTGAGGGTCTTTCTTACTGTCCTGCTGCAGCTTTATTACATGTTCAGGGTCTTACTTTTTACCCTGCAGACCTGCAGGAAAATACATTTTAAAAAAAAAACCTTGCTTTGGCACGTGGTCAACTACATTAGTCTGCAGCGCCGCTCTGGCCCGACCGCCACCGTTCATCACCGGCGAAATTCATCCGTAAAATATTACAATCGCTCCCCTCAGGATGAATTTCCAGGTAAATGAGAGCGCTAAGTGTTGAGTTTTAGTGCCACTGAAGGAGATTCTTCAGCCATCGACGGTTTAAGAAGGGTGGTTCGCACTTAGAAAGAGGAAGTGGCATTTTCAACATGTCAACAGTTCAAATTTAGGCCAGCAATTTCCAACATTAAGTGTTTCGAATGCAATACTTTACCCCCAGCGTCTCCTTTTATATCAGGAAAAACTGCAGAGTATAATTCATAAAGCATTAACAGATGGATGGTGTGATAAATCTCTGTATATGGGTTGAAAATGTATTAATGTCATAAATTTGGGGAAAATGCAAAAGCAGCTAATTGTCACATTAACAGGCGTTTATAATTCCATGAAAAGGGTTCAGCATGTTTTTAACTGACGATGTAATAATGCTGATTAATGAAGTGCGAACACAAGCCAGTGTTAATCATTACGGCTAATGTGATGCAGTTTTATAACATTCAAAGGGACATTTATTTGAGTTATTAGATAATGAGGACGTATTACATCATCAGCTGGACTTGTTCTCAGAGTTCATCCCAAATATTTCTACGGAGTTTCCTAAACTGAAGGTGACAGGATGTTTAAGGGATTATAATTGTCATTATCTTTTCCTGAACCATGTAAAAGTCTTCTTCTTTATCCACCATCAGCCATTGTTTGTAGTTCATGAAAACCAACCTGCAGACACAGGGCGACACGCAGCCTCTGCAGATAAACAGCGACTCCTATATTCAGCTGATTATACGTTAATGAAGACATACCTATGAACATTATATTCATTTTCTGACAACAGATCCTCCTCAATGTTCCACACAGTAACAGTACAACGAATGGTCAGTTTACATTGTGTATAGACCGATAGACGCACTTTCTACCTTATCCTGTCTTCTAACATTGTTATATTTGTTTAAATGAACTGTATGTGCTTCTGTTTGCACACTGAGGGACGAATAAAGTATTTTGAATTCTTTCACTTTATTTAAACTTTGAATGCAGGACTTCTTCTTCTTCCACCACTGTGTGTGTGTGTGTGTGTGTGTGTGTGTGTGTGTGCTGAGCGGCCATTAATTACAAAATGGAGCATCGCACGGAGCTGGAAAACGATGACCTGCTAGTTTTCAGGATTAGCCTGGAAGGAGGGGGTTGGGCAGGTGGAGCAGAGAACAACAGAGTGTGTGTGTCTTACTTTCAGATCAGTGTGCATATGTTTGATAAAAGAGGAAGACGAGGAGAAGAGAAAGGGGAAGAGGTCTGTGAAGAATAAAAAAGAAGAGGAGAAAAGGGGCTGAAATAATTGTTGGCAAAGAGTTTGGAAGAAGATGAAGCAGTCAGGAAGAAATGGATGAGAAAAAAAGACAAAGAGGTGGCAGCAGATAGGTGAGGAAGAGGAGGAGGAGATGGAGAGATGAGGAGAAAAAGAGATAAAAGTGAGGAGGAGAGGAAGGAGACACAAAGGAAGAGAAGGTTAAAAGGAAAGATTAGGAGCAAAGGAAAAAGTAAGGAAGAGGAGGCAAGGGAGGTGAAGAGGAAGACCGCATGAGAAAAAGATGATAAGGAGGACAAGAAGGAGTAGGAGGAGGAGGAGAGAAATGTATGAGGAAGAAAAAGAGGAAGACAAGATGAAGAGGGATACAAGAATGAGGTGAGGAAAAGGAGAGAAAAGAGAAACTGAGAATGAGATGGAAGATGAGGCAGAAAAAGGAGGCAGGAGATGGGTGAGGAAGAGGAGGAGAAGAGGAACAGAAAAGGGGGATGAGGAGGACAAATAAGAGTAAGCGAGAAAACGGGTAAAGAACGAGGTTAGGGAGGAAGATGAAGAAGAGATGAGAAAGAGGAAGGTAAGAGTTAGGAAAAAAAGTAGGAAAGAAGGATAAAACCAGGAAAATAAAGCCACTGGAAAAACACACATTCCCCTTAAACCCAGAGAGTGTGTGTGTGTGTGTGTGTGTGTGTGTGTGTGTGTGTGTGTGTCTGTGTGTGTGTGTGTGTGTGTGTGTGTGTGTGTGTGTGTGTGTGTGTGTGTGTGTGTGTCTGTGTGTGTGTGTGTGTGTGTGCGCGTGTGTGTGGAATATTTTGACACACAAACAGAAAATCAAGCTCCATCTAATTACATAGAGTTGTGAATGACTGCAGGCTATAAGACAATGTGTGTGTGTGTGTGTGTGTGTGTGTGTGTGTGTGTGTGTGTGTGTGTGTGTGTGTGGAGGATTTTCAGATTATCAGATGACCTTATTGGCTGGAGACTAGCGTGCACGCGCGAGGTCCGCGTGCGCACACGTGACAATACACGCTAATTGTCAACTGATCATTTGCAGTCATTGTTTTCCTCCATCTGCTGCTGAGCTCCTCTGTTTTTATGCCAGCGTATGAATATTTATAACAGCTGGATTAAAGAGAGGAATAAAAAGAGGGAAAGAATGGAAAATGAGAAGCAATGCGTTCTGTTTAATTAATATTAGACGGAATATAACAACATCATAGAAATAAAGCACCCTAAAGCACTAAAAAGAGCAATAAGGCTCACTATTAGGCACCATAAACTCAGAATAACCAATTAGACATTAACAATTAATACACTTGTACACCTGGACTACATGAAACCCGTTAAATGTAATAAAATACTATGAAAAAAGTCCTTATGTACAATACATGTAACTATAACCTCAGTGTAAAGCAGTAAAGACGCATAATAAAACCATTATAGTGACCCATACATAGATAAATACAGAACTATAATATAATAATAATAATAATAATAATAATAATAATAACACTAAACACGATTTATATTTTTATTTGAGTAACGCCGAATTCCTCTCCGCACATTGCTCTGATAAAACTAGAAAACAAGTTTAGCAAATTATTTGTTTACAAGAGAATTAGGAGCACTTGAGTGTAAAATTGACTGTAATGTGAACTGACCTCCTGCTGCCTTAAGAATCCTCATACAGAGAAGCAGACACAGTGAATATCATATGAATATTAAAGAGATGTTAGAGTGGAGCCGAATTCCTCTCCGAGCATTCATTTTCCAAATTAATGAACTACATGAGCAAATCACTGGTATAAAAGACAACTAGAAGTAATTAAGTGTAAATTTGACGGTAATGTGAACTGACCTCTTGCTGGCTGGAAGCCCGAACGCTCGGAGCAGGTACGGGGTGAGGAGAGGGTGAGGAATACGCGCTGATGGAGAGCCCGCCGTCACTTCTTCTTCTTTCTCCTCGCTTTTTCTCGCCTCATTTGTCTTTTAGACCCAAAAAGAAACAGGAAGAAAGTAATGAAAGGTTCAAACAAGAGCTCCGAGAAGTTTTAACCGGTGACAGACACTCCAACACGCCGATTCCCGTCCGCCTCTGCTCCGGTCTGCCGGAGGTCTGAGGAGAGCTCCTGTGCTCGAGGAGGGTGGGTGACGTCACTGGGAGGGGGCGGAGCCACACACACTGTCCACATACCGTGGCAACCGCCCCCCCCAACTGCGGCATCAATATCATTATTGATCATTTCTCAGGTAATTTAAAAACATTTCTCACATTCGTCCAATGTTTCCTTTTAGTTAATTTGAATTAATGAAATAACAGGAGCACTGTGAAGGAGTCTTTGGGCAATTCTGGGTAATTGTGACGCCATTTCTCTCTATTTTCAGAATTCTTAGACACCAAACAATCAATAATCGTTAACTGCAGTTCTGTACAAAACAGTTAAACAGTAAAATCCTGCTTTTATATTAATGCATCAGTCATAACAATCTAATAATAACAGTCACAGGACATTTTCAGTGCAGAATCTTTACCTGTAAGAGTATTTAACAGTGTGCAATTAGTACTTTTACTCAAGCAAAAGGCCTGAATATTAATAAATATATTAATATATCATTGATAGTATATAATTAGTGGACAGAGCTTCAAGGCCTCAATGCTGAAGTGTCCTAAACCTGCATTCTTTCAAATGGCCGGCATTGATTCTTATGGAGAAATGAAACAGTTTCTTAAAGAGTTTCTGGTCTCAATCTCTAGTTTCAAGTCTTCTTCCATACAGAATGATGTTCATGTTCATTCATTAAGCCTGCTGCATGCTTATTGATGCACTGACGCTGAGGAGATTTAGTAAAAATCAGCCTATTAAATCTGTATTATTGTTAAAAATGATAAGAAATACATAACAAAGACAGATAATTATATATAAAGTTCTTCAAAATATCAGGAAAACTGATCTCTGAACAACATTCACAGGAAATAATCTGCTCAGAGTTCATCCAAATCGCTCGTTTTACACAAACTTCCTTGAATATAATAGGAAATATCCATAAAATATATCACTCAATGACAGAAAAGTGGTCCCTTAAAGAAAGAAGGTAAAAAAACGGGACACAGCACCCTCAGCCAATCATATTTCCATTAGAGACTACATACACACACACACACACACACACACATACAGCTTTGGTTGCTGCTTTTATTATCAATAAAGAAAATAAAACTGTGTTTCCACAACTGAGCATAAAAATAGCAAATAATGGCGATTAAACTGCCGTTGGAGTCCGTAATGATCCACCCATTGTGTGAACTGAACAGGCTCTATAAATAAAGCTGAGTGGCTCGTGCAGCAGGACGCTCTTCTGCTAATGAGGGTTTGGTGTCGGTGAGATGAAATCCCTCTGCGACTGCTGTGGTCTGGGTGGTACCATTAATAATAATAATAATAATAATAATAACGGCAGGAGCTTGTTTGAAAATGATAACGTTGTTTAAATTATAATCATTTAAAAACACTGTAAAAACAGGATGAGTTAGTTCAACTCAACTCAGCATGAAATATGTTTGATTTAAGTGGAAGTAACTCTTATTGTGAAGGTAACTTGGGTAAATTAAGTTAATTAAAGTTCATATGCAGCATTTCTCTTGTTTAAAATATGTTAATAGAATTTATCTGAATAAAGTCACTTAACTTTATACAAATGTTACCACTTGAATTTACTGAAGTTTTCTTTTATTATCAAATTATTATATTACCTATCAAAACAGCTGGCGTACAATAAACAATATTTATAATTAATTGATTATTAAATGGGAGCTTGGGCTTAAAATTATTAATAAACGGAAATAAAAACAATACTTACACTTTTATTATGATATAAAGACAATAAAATGGCTTCAACAGTACAGTTTTTTGGAGGATTAAGTTAAATTAAATGTGTTTTACACTGTAACAGAATTCTTTCATCAGTCTAACATCCCTCTTCCTCTTTCATCTCATTGATCAACCCACTCCAAAAGATTTGTCCTCTCCGCTGTAAAAAGCTGCCGAGAAGACGACGAATATCTCCAAATAAGTTTAGAAGTGTAGCCTCAGAGAGAAGATTTCCTGCATATGAAGATTCATTAATGGCTGTAGAACTAAAGCGCTGACGAGTTTCATTGAAGTTCAAACCTCTCACTGTTTTGACTTTGATTAGAAGATAGTTCATCCTGTTTCAAAGAGGTTTAAGTAAGATCTCTGTCTCTGTTTTGGCCTTAAGATTCTTAATAAAGACACAGAGAATAACTGTCTTTATCTCAGGCAGGTCTATTTTCAGACTGCAGTGGCAGCAGTAGAAAGGGTTGGTTAGGGTGTTAAAGGTCAGCTGTCACCCTGCAAAAGTCAAAGAGTCCTGACCTCTGTTACTTTCTTTACATCGTGTGTTTACATGTTCACCCAATAAGATCCACCTATCAGAGGGACGCCTATATATGTAGCCTCAGAGGGCGAGAAGAAGTATTAACCTTCAGACCTTCAGACCTTCAAACCTTCAGACCTTCAGACCTTCAGACCTTAAGACCTTCAGACCTTCAACCTTCAAACCTTCAGACCTTCAAACCTTCAGACCTTCAGACCTTCAGACCTTAAGACCTTCAGACCTTCAACCTTCAAACCTTCAGACCTTCAGACCTTCAACCTTCAAACCTTCAAACCTTCAACCTTCAAACCTTCAGACCTTCAGACCTTAAGACCTTCAAACCTTCAGACCTTCAGACCTTCAACCTTCAAACCTTCAAACCTTCAACCTTCAAACCTTCAGACCTTCAGATCTTCAAACCTTCAGACCTTCAAACCTTCAAACCTTAAGACCTTCAGACCTTAAGACCTTCAAACCTTCAGACCTTCAGACTGTAGCAAAGGTTTAGGTCTAGGGTGGCTCCTGAAATCTGATTGGCCACCCTATTATCATAACCCCTTCCACTCCACACTGTCTTTGATAGGCTGTAGCAGGCTGTGGTTTTAAAGCTGGAGATACCGGTATCATATGGAACTAGATGATGTTAACCCCTTGCAGTTTTTTTGCATTTGGTATAGATTACTTTTGCCTTAATGCCTTAAAGGCATTCATTCATTCATACTTTATGCACACTTGCCAGTCGCTCTGTGACTGTATCAGAAAGTGATGCCGCTGTTATTCCCAGTTTAGTTTTAAATATATCCACCATCAAATACAGAATATCAGATCAAACACTGTAAGATGCCTGAACGCTCTGACTTCCAAGCCTTCAAATACACAACCAAAGCTGAAAGGAAACTTCACTTTGATCTGCTCGACCATGGAAAGTTGTAAAATCAGACCTCGCCACAGCGTGTGTTGCCTGTCTGTTCCCCCTCGGTCATGCCCGAGGAAGATTTTAAAGGCAGCAACCAAAATTTCCAACAAGGCAGCTAATTAGTCCAACAGCTGGAGAAAGACAACAGCAAAGGAGTACAGCTGTGATTAAACTGCATCGTCCTACTTTATCAGAAAAAGCAGCTTACACCTCATCAGGATGGATAAAATTTCTTAGACAAGATATTTTTACAACTTTTCCTGCATTTTATTTGTATTTTAATAAACACTCATTGTGAACACCCTCAAAAGGCAGCGCTCAACCACCAAGGGTAAGAGAGTCTTCACTGTAAGCCCTCACCTTTCAGTCTTTCTGCCGTTAATACCTGAGCTCTTATGCGTATCTCTTATTCAGCTCATGCTTTTGCGTTGGACAGTTCAATCACATCCCGAGAGCTGTAGGATTTTAGAAAACATCAGGCATCTCTCTACCTTACTTTTCCTACACAGAGAATATGATGGATGCTACAGCAGTGTTAGAGAAGTGAAAGCGTGCTGATTTATCTGACTGCCCTCCACGCGCTTTCTCATTCTGCACTGTCAGAGGCCGAGGGGTATATGATGAATATCTGTAAGACGACTTATGAAGTGACTGGAGATCAGTGCAGATCTCTGATATCCATTCAGCAGGCCGGTGTCACCTTGGACCTGCACTTTTGGAAAAGGATTTCTCAAACGTTTTCACCATCTCAGGCTGACAAGATATCAGCTAAATCAAATAGGCTGAAGTTTTCATTTATTTCACATGACCAAAGCCAGACGCACTTAAACACATCATTCAGTCACATGTTTATTTATATATATTTATTTGTATATCTTCTCCAAAACAGTCTCTGACAGACATTTGTTTAAATATTATTAGTTTTCACTGTTTTGAAACCATTTTCCTCCACAAAGTTAATTATCGACCCTGGAGACACCAAAACAATCTCAAACTCCATCAATGTGGTTCAAAAGTTTGTCTTCCTCCACCTGTTTCCTGTCAGAAGATCATTTACTTTTCTTTTCCTGGACGTCTGTTGTTGTGCTTGTAGAGCTGAAACCATTCATTCATGATTAATTAGCCGATTGATTCATCAAAGAAAAATGCCGGTTCCAGCTGCTGCTTTTCTCTGACTGAATGAGGTTTCTAACATCTGGAACAGAAGTTCCCGGGTCCCAGTGCCTCTGACCCTCCAGTGACCCAGTTTGTCTGGGATTGTCCCAGTTTTGTGTCCCAACAAATATCAGTAAAACCTTAAAATGTCCCTGTTTTCAACATTTACTTCCAAATTGTTCCGGTTTTAACCACAGTTAAATTAAGTGGTTTTTAAGCCTAATGCTAATGTCAGCATGCTTACATGCAGGTATAATGTTTGTCACACCTTAGCATCTTAGTTTAGTGTGTTAGCATGCTGACATTAGCTAATTAGTACCAAACACAAAGCCCAACTGAGGCTGCTGGGAATGGTACAGTTCTGGCTGTGTTTTTGACCTTCAGTCCCTCGCTGCGTTTTTGTGTGAGTGTGTGACGGAAACCTGACAGCAGCATCTCACTCACAACCTTTACTGCCTTTTAAACCGTGTGAAGAAGATTATTCTTTCCACGTTGTTCCAGATAATCGAAACTTTAGGGGTGAACTGCCATTTTCTTTTGCACTGTTTTCTCCTGAGATACTTCCCTTTTTTGTTTATAGTTTTTGGCCTTGGTTCACTCTGAAGCTATTGCTTCTAGTTTACACATTTGTGATAGTAAATTACCTTTA